CATTTATATTTTACCTCCTAAACAATAATATAATTGATTTTTATTTCTACTTAGGTATTCTAAAATAATCTTAAATTAACTTGAAGGATGTTTCAGTAATTGTGCTATAATAGAGTATAGAATAATCAATGATTTTTTTTTATTTCAGCATATTATGGGGGTACAGATGTTTAGGTTACAATGATTTTTAAGATATTTATTTAAAGTTAGAATATCTTTAGTAGATATTAGATATAATGTAGAATATCTTATAAGTTTTAATATGTTTTAGTTTTTTCTGTAGGAAGTCTAGAAGTTTTGTTGATGAAAATATTGCCTTTGTCCTAATAAAAGGCACCCTTTTCGGTTAGGGAAATAATAAACATTGTTCTATGGAAAATATGAAATGGGATATTTTTGATTTGATAAAGGCTTAGTTATTTGGTTTGATGTTGTTATTAGCTGATATTTGGTTTGATAAGTTGCTCAGATAGATACTGTTGATGAGTAAACACAAGCAGCATCCTTCCTTGGGGAGCCTTCTTGGGAAATCTTTGAGATGAAAATGTTATTTTCTTCTAATAGATATTAAAAACTATTACAGTATGTTTTATTGACTGAAAGAGTAGACATGAATGAGGGAAAGTGGAAGAAAAAAAAACTAGACCTCTTTCATCCCTTCTTTTGAGGTCCCCTAACACTCACTGAGATGGAAAATGTGAGGAGTCAAGTAGCCTAGTTTAGGCACAAGATGGGACTATTAATATTTCATCAGCTGCAGTTACATTCTTTCCAACAAGGAAAATCTTCTACCCTTGGATCAGGGAATAGGCAAGAGCAGGGGACAGAAAGGAGAAGGGATGGCAATTAGTTTTATTTCTGTCTTTTAATTTTGTCCACACACCAAATGAATGGAATCACCTCCCATGTCTTTCTGAGTGCTACTCTTAAGAGCACTTAGTTCAGATGAGTATTGGGTGAATTAAAATACTCTATAAATAACTAAAGCACACCCAGATATCCAAACATGCTCCTATCTTCCTAGAAGGAAAGACCAAGCTAACAGATGAATTTCAAGAAAGGCTTAGTGAAGAACAACTTTATCAAATAACCACTTTGAGTTTGATTGCCAGGATGTCATAACCTAGAATTCCATCAGTTAATATATAATAGTTGCATTTCAACAAGCCATTTTTTCAGCCTCTGTGACCAAAGTGAGATCTAACAAACTGGTCTCATTAGAAATAAATAGTATGAGAGGCTACTGCACATGCAGCCAATTCCACAAAATTATTTATCATATTCTTCCTATCAAATTGGTCAAGAAAGGCTAACTCATTTTT